CAACCGATGCATAGGACCGATATGCGACCGATAACATAGACAACGGATGCATAGTACGACAATGGCGACCATTAAGCATAGGACAACGATGCATAGGACCGATATGCGACCGATAGCATAAAGGACACGATGCATAGGACCGTATGGCGATCAGATAGCATTTAGGACAACGTGCATAGGACCGTATGGCGACCGATAGCATAGGACAACGATGCATAGCCATATGGCGACAGATAGCAAGGACAAGCGATGCATAGACCATATGCGACCGATACATGGAACACGATGCATAGACCGATATGGCCGACGATAGCATAGGACAACGATGCATAGACCGATATGGGACCGATAACAATAGGAACACATGCATAGGACCGATATGGCGACATAACATAGGACAACGCTGCATAGAGAGAACGCCGAGGCAGCTACTCGAACGGCAGAGGCGCGGCCATAGCCGCCTCCATGGCCACCTGACTCTCCCAGTTATTACTCGCGCAACTTTTCTTGAACGATACCTTGCTTCCCCCTCTCTGATAAATAAACAGTTTTGAGACAAAAGCTCCAGCGTGCACTGAGACAACATTGCAAACACATCTTCATTGGCGCAAATAGGAAACTATTTTCCTAGATGGAGGAAAACTTCTGACCCTGATTTCTTCAAAAAATTTAAAATAACCAAAGCAGTGGAAATTCATCACAGGAAATACCTGGTACTCCTGAGAAAATTAGTAACGCAAATTTGAGGACGTATGCGAAGGCATGACATGAATTCTCCGGAGATGCATCTTGCTTCCATTGAATCTGGCGGCCCGATTCGAACTAAATACCCCCAACTACTACCCCATTTCTTCACTCCATTGTCAAGAAAAGTTGCGCGAGTAATACCAGCCAGCCTTCGCCAAAACCTATCGGACAGCGTAACCAACTGTCAGTGAATGCACCGACCAGTCATACAGCATCTGCCCGTTAATAGCGTCTATCTCATCACTGGAATCATTATCATGCACTCTGTATCAATGCATCTTTGTATTGATTTATCAAGTTAGTAAAAAAGAGTAGTAGGAGTTTATTTACAAGCATCATTACTTTGACGAGTTTTTCTTTCATAAAATTTGAGATACATGTTATTGATTGAAAATGAGTAGAAATCTTGCATTTTACCCCGATCTATAGCGGCTCACCCTGAGGCTCATAAACGCCGGCGCCCAACATAAGGCAGGTTTGTATCGCACTTGGACACCAAAAACCGCGAATGTAAACTCTGAGCAACTTTACAACGAGTGCTAACGACCTCGGTACGTACATTTGAAGACCAACGTGCATTACTGTGCTCAACTCGATACCACAGAGAGAAAATCTCCCAACAAACCGTGAGCCGATACTATTCGCATGGTCGCCATATTGGAAGTAAAGAGCTGCACGACCGGGCATTTGTTGTGTGGTGAACGGTGGTGTAGGTGTCTTTTATTTCCGTTTTACTCGTTATATTTGGTGCGTTTATGACTAGCAAAAACCTACGTACCCCTAAAGGATATTTGCTTAGTATGGGCAAATATTAATAAAAATGGAAGTAAAATATAATAATTTCCTTTCTAGAGTTGGACACACTGTTTACAGTAACAGTTGAGTGTGAAATAGCGTCTAAATATCGTGTTAGCGTGTTAATGTCACAGTATATTGATAAGGAATGCATTGAAAACTCTAGGAGATATTTCCCGTAAGTTTAAAATGTTCATCTTTAGGTAACATTTCTCAAAAACTATTTATTGAAGGATGCTCAAATTCAAATTTTGGCAGAGTATGTAGCACTCCAATTTATATACTTCAAAGGAGGTGGATTTATAAAATATAAAATACATCAAAACTGATTACAAAAGACGAAAATGTATGGTTGATCTGGAGAGTGGCATGATTCCTTTGGTTCACCATTCCTCGTGATTCACAAGATTATATTTGCGCAGTTCACTTCAATCACTAGAGAATAATTTTGCTGGCATAGATTAATTTTCTTAAGTCAAAGCATAAATATGTACACAATATGACTATGAATCAATGCCATATTAAACTGTACATTTTGCTATTATGAAACATTTTTTCTTCATGACGAGACATTTTAAATTTCAATTCACATCTACAATTATACTTCACAACACTATTTTGAACTTAAATATAAATATAGACTTGATTTACTAATTAAAGAGCCTCTGAATAACACATTTTGTTGTTTATATGACAACAAAATTATTTACTTCATACATTGATGAAATATAAGATTCTAAAGACTTTATTGGCGTGGATTTGTGTTTTTTTTCGCATTTTCAGTTTTCTTCTAATACTTTTGTGTCTACTGAGATGGAAGGTATTAATTTATGATTTGCACCGGGAGGGAAGTTTGAATGTTATCCACTGGTGTCAGAAAGTGGGTTTGCTTGCGTCTCGGCGTGTATGTATTTTATGCAAGAATGATATGAAAATTTAATGAGAGAAAGGATAGAACAGATGGTTATGAGTTGTTTTGTAGTCAGAGGCGAGAATGGTCATAGTGTGAAAAAGGCTGTGCGAAAGGTATCTTCGTTTGAGAGGAGTCTTATTTATTTACTGAAGTTCAGTTCATAAAAAGTAAAGTGTGTATTTTTTTAGATATAAGCGAATTTGGTGTTACGTTGATGAATCCTTGAAGTTTTTCGTGTTTTAAGGATGTTCTACGTAATTAGTGCAGAGACGTTACATTAATTTTACGATTGATCCGGAGTTTAGGGTGGCACCGGTTCCTTTGGTTCACTGATACGGTTCACTAATCTCGTGATTCACAAGGTTATAGTTTCACGGTTCACTTCAATCACTCGAGAAACATCTTGATGGCATTGATTCAAAGCATAAATAAATTTTCAGAATTTAACTACGTCACTATGCCAAATAAAGTTATACATTTTTCCAATTACGAAACATTTTTTCTTCATGACGATACATTTTTAAAATGTATTTAAAAAATTCTCATCTAAAATTTCACTTTACAACACTCTTTTAAATCACAAAATTAAGACTAGCTAGCTAGTTGAAATAGACTTGATTTACTAATAAAACAGCTTCCTAATAACACATTTAGTTGTTACTATGACTACAAAATTATTTACTTCATAATTTTATGAATAGTTAAATTGCGAAGAATTTTGTGGCGTGGATTTGCGCGTTTTATTGCCATTTCAAGTTTCTTTTTAATTGTTTTGTGTGTCTACAGAGATGGAAGGTATAAATTCAGAATTTTTTTATTATTTGCGCCGAATGGGAAGTTTGAATGTGATTCAGTGGTGTCAGAAAGTGGGTTTTCTTGCGTCTCGACGTGTATGTAATGTATGTAAGAATGAAATTAAGTTTATTGAGAGAAAGGATAGAACAGATGGTTTTGAGTAGATTTGTAGAGTCAGAGGCCAGAATCGTCATAGTGTGAAAATGTCTGTATGAAAGGGTTCTTGGTTTGAGAGGAGACTTATTAATTTACTGAAATTTAGTTCCTAAGAAGTAAAGAGTGTGTATTTTTTAGATAAAAGCAGATTTGGTGATACGTTGATGAATCATTGAAGTTTTTCGTATTATAAGGATGTTCTACGTAATTAGTGCAGATATGTTACAATCATTTTACTACCATAGTATTTTTAATACTCTAAAAATTTTATAATTTCAGCGATTATGTGAGTTGATTTTTTATTTTTTTCTAATAAAATACTGCTATATTTGACACATAGTATTTGTTTGAAAAAATAGTCTGGTGGATTTTATATTATTAAAATGGGTGTTTGGGGGGCGATAGCCCCCCAATAATAAAAATGTTTAAATAGAAAGTTTTAGTAAAATATACTGAGAATTCAAGAGCATATACAAAAGTGTTAAGCAGATAAGATGCCTTTTTTTGGTAATTAAATTTTGGCTTTGAGTAGTAATGATAGATTAAGTTGCATGTGAGTGTTAAATAGAAATTATAATTCTTGCGATAACATGGTGACCATTACAACATGCGAACAATAAACAAGGATTCAGTTCAGTGAGTCGATTCCCCTCTAGTGAACCGGATCAGTGAACCAAAGGAACCGATGTTACCCTAAATTCCGGATATACCAATTTTACTACCATATTATTTTAACACTATTAAAATCCTATAATTTCAGCGATTATGTGAGTTGTTTTTTTTCTTTTTCAAATACAATACTGCTCTCTATAAAATATAGTGTTTGTTTAAAAAAATACATAAATGGGGAGGGGGTGGCGATAGCCCCCCAATAATTAAAGTATAAGTAGAAAGTGTTAGTAAAATATACTGCATATTTTAAAAGTGTATTAAGTAGATAAGTGTCTTTTTTTAGTAATAATATATTGGCTTTGATTATTAATGAAAGTTGAAGTAGCATGTGATTGTGAAATAGAAATTATATTTATTGCGAAACCATTATGAACATTAGTACAAGCGAATAGTAAACAAAGATTCAGTTCAGTGAGTCGATTCCCTTCTAGTGAACCGAATCAGTGAACTAAAGGAACCGTGCCAGCCTAAACTCCGCTTCAACCACTTTTATATAAAAAAAAAATTAAAAAAGCTTCGTTAAATTAATATAAATAATAAATCTACACATACATCAAATTTCAAGTCTTTAAATTTCATAGTTTCTAGTAAAATGTTCCTTACATTAACATAGGTGAGATAAGCTGCCATTATGGCTACATTTATGTGCTGCCAATATTGTCAGAGTAGAAATTTATTTATGTTGTTTTCTCTTGTAAAAGTAAGAAATGGTTACTGTTTATCTGCCAAAAAAATCGTTATGTGAACCTCATGGGCTTCTTTTGAATTTGTTTGAAGTTTTTCACATAAGAGCTGAAATTTTAATATTATAATACTGCATAGTCATTCCCAATAATGCGGGAAAGTGTGTTCTGTTCTAGCACACGTAGTTTATAATTCAAATGAGGTCTAATCAATTTTTTAATGATGCTGGGCTCCCTACTTGAAGCTGTCCGCCTGGCCCGGTCGATGGGGGGGTCGCCGACGCCGGTCGCCGACGCTGCAGTACCAGCACCAGAGCATGTAGCCTTGAGGCACGTACTGTGGCTTGACAGCCTCGTCCACGCGCAGCACGTGACCTTGGGCCAGCGACGTCACGACGGTGAGCGGCTTCCGATCACTGCACACGATGGGTTTGACCGGCTTCAGGAACTCGCGGAGAGACTCGTTGTACGGGTCCACGTAAGGGATCTTGCAGCTGGGGCTCCACACCACGTAGCCGGGCTTCTCTGCGAACACGCCCAGCCGAACTTTTAGACCAGCACAGACTGCGCCAGGGGCGTCAAAATGTGCTCGCAGGAGTTCCCTCCCGTCTGGGAAGCCAAGAGTGCCTGTGAGCACTGGTCATTAACCTGAGTCCCATTTTCTTCCTGAACGGGGTGTACACGCGCTAGCTAAGGCGGGGAATACTCTTACGAGTTGCTCTGAAAAATTGATCTTAAGACGAAGATCATGTCAGTTTTTATAAAACACTAGTAATTATCCGTAACGTCTTGACGTTTACGCAATTAATTTTTATAAAATCTCACAAACGGCTTTAAATATTTTCTTTATGCCATTTTCACGGATAGAACCAAGATCGCTTAAGAACTAATAAACTATGAGAACAGACAAGGCATATTACACCCAATCCAAGGCCCCACAATTCACTGATAATGGTATAACTCGGGCAACTTTTCTTAAACGATGAATTGACGAATTTGGGTGGAGTGGGGGTATTAGTTACAAAGTCGACCACTAGAGTATTTTGAGTAATGCCAACGTCAATGAAATGAACGTCAAAACTGCATCTTGTGCTTAATTTTTAGGTGACTCCTTTGAAGGACCTGGACCTAACTAAGCCATTTCTTTCGATACTGACCATAAACTTCAACAGGGGTTCTGTATTATGAAAGCAATTGGCTCTGACTAAGCTTCTGTTTCGTGCCAACGAACGTTTAATGCTTGGAAGGTTGTCATCAATGCTCGTTGCGAGCGTTTGCCTTTAACTGTTTATTGCACAAGGGAGGGGGATCAAGGTTATCGTTCAAGAAATGTTGCGCGAGTAATAGTCTTTCCTTCAAATTGAAGTATGTAATGGTAGCCATGATGGGGCAATTTCTTGCACCAATTTGAAATACTTAGATATCTTACACACCTTTCCGCATTTTCAAAGGTCTAAATATGTAGAGTATAAGATGTATCCGTATTGAAATACTAACTCACAATTTAAAGTAAAATATGCAAAACTAACATTGTAGAGTCCAAATGTTTATATATCTCTCACACAATAACATAAGCCATTATCACAGAGCTTTTTACATTGTAAAAGTTCTGTTGTTTAAAGCGAGTCGCGCAAGTAGCTTTTAGCACTTGTAAGAGAATGTTTGAAAGACAAGGTAAGCATAAGAGCTACTATAAGTAAATATGTTGCTCTAAAATGGATTTGTATGTACTCCATGAGATTGTCCAGTCCGTGATACGTTTGTACTATATTTAAGTCACTGAATATATTTTCTTAAAAATAAATGATTTTGATAGATTGGGGATATTTTCCCTTACAAAACCTCATACTGTAGATGTCGGGACATTTATTTTCAAAACTTTTGTAATCGTTTGATCATCTAATGCACACTCAGTTAAAAATCATTAGACTAACTCTGAATCCTTCTTCACTAAAAGTTTACATCACATTACGCAAAATGTTTAAAATTCTACTAAATTTTACTAATTTATAAATTTCAAATAAGTTACTTTTTGATAGGCTTCGGATATAGAAGTATGTATACGCAAAATATGAATATCAAAAGTACGAAAATAATATGGAATATGCAGATACCTGGAGTATACGGTCATGTGAATTGGTGTTCAAATATATTCGTTTTTGTAGTTTTCACCAGTCTGTAGACAGAATATCAATATTCCTGTAATAAGTTTGAAGTTAGAGAATACAAATATATCTTTACCTACTTAAGAGAGATCGTTCCAACAAAAACCGTGGTAATGTACAGAGTGAAACTAATGTTCCTTCACGTGCAATTAAAATGTACGGTTTCATTCTTATTAATGACCACCAAATTAATTAGTAAAAGCAGCCAACGCTTACAGTAAGTTACATCACATATGTAAAAGGCGTACTTGTAGAATTGCACAGGGCTTTCGTCGCACCAATTATTAAGTAAGGCGCTGCTTCACTATTTTACTTATCTTACAGAATCTTCCTCTTCCGTAAAAAACATAAAAACGAGAATGTAATCCGGCCAGAATGCTCATATAGTTGCCCCTACCCTGGCTGCCAGGAAACGTTCCAATTTGCAATGTTACTCATGATCTATGCTATCACGAATCGTCTCCCGATGCCTGATTTTGACACAGAGCAATTTTCTTCGAAACACAGCGCAAAGACAAAGTGTTTACTAGTGGAAAACACTTTAACAGGTAATTCTTGAATGTTTTCAGAACCAATTCATCCAATCACAAAATATACAACGCTATATTACCCAATTTTTTGCTGTTCTTAAGATTGAAAACAAAATGTCTCGGATCATTAAAAAAAGTCATAATGTAAACTTTTATTAGAAGTCAGAAAGACCATCAATTTAAATCCGATAAAACAGAAAGACTATGCACAAAACTATACTCTAAATTCGCCGCTTTTTCTGTATAAACGATTAGTGAAGAAATCGCATTCATATCTTCATTATCCCCAAAAATAGTAACAAAAACACAATCCTCTTGAAAGCGCTGTCGAAGAGGAAACGAGACCGTTTCTTCTAAACAATCATATGAAAAAATGTATAATTTACGCCACATTTTGTGCTATAATTTTGCCGTTAACAAATGGTAAATTTAAGTTTTGAATCATAGAATCCCATCAGGACAGTGTACTCTAAACCATCATTTGTAACAATTCATACTCTACGACATAATTCGACGTTAACAAGTTCTAAATATAATCTGTAATAAAAGAATTTTCCGCGGGCCGGTTAGTTTGTTACCCGGGTTCGAATCTCAGAAATGTCTCACCTGCGAGTGCCCTGCGCAGAGAAAAGAAAGATATCGCTGCTTCTAAATCATCATTCGTAACAATTCATACTCTACGCCAAATGTTTCGGGTAACAAGTACTAAATATAATGAAGTCAGCATGTAAACTGAAACCCTTCGAAAGACCTTTAGTTAAATGTGAAAAGAATAAATTTAAAAAATATATAATCAGTAATAAAAAAACTTTACCGCGGCCGGTTTAGTAACAATTCGCCTTGGGGCGCTCGCCCGATTTCGTGTCCCAAGGGCCGTCGCGAGGCGGTAATTTTGCCGCCGACGACCATCCTACACTTGTCTCAATATTACAGTTTCTCGTGGTCGTCAATCGCAGATATTGTATTAAATATCATCAACTGAACATTGATGTATATTAAAAATGTATTGAAACAATTCTAAATAGTCTCCAGAAAAGAAATTTCTGGAGGTAGTGTGCAAATCAGTTTTCTACTTTGGCTTCACGACTCGATGATGACAAATACTTACAATATTATAATGGCATAATATAATTCTACATTAAATTGTAATGATGTGAAAAGATATAAATTTAATAAGATGAAAATGGTAAGAGGGGAAGAGAGAATATGAAGGTTGCTAAATATGACACAATAAAACAAATACAGGAAATATTTGGAATTTAGATTATTAATATCCATTGAAATCACCTACAAATTAGACGCAATGAATAACCATTTCATTTAATTTACACAATAATTAGCATAAAAATATTATGGCACTCTTTTTAAAAAATCATACGGAAAATATTCTTATAAACGCGATCGCGTGGCGGTATTTATGGCGCGTAGAGCGTAGACTGATGATGTTGGTCACTTTTATACCTTGTGCATATGTGATTGTGTCTTGGAGAAGACGTTACCGCTGTCTTGTCTCAATAGATAATAAGAATACCTGGATTCCCACAATGCGCGGTTCAAAATAAACACGCAGCGCCGTTTATTTTCAAAGGCATCATTTAAACGCCCGCGTGATCTTTCAAAGTTTAACCGGGTTCTAATCCCCAAAATGGCTCCTTAGCGAGCGCGGCGCGCAAGGAAAAGAGATTGTTCGTTTGAAACAATCACTGGTTAGTTACCATTAACCGGATTCGAATCTACGAAATGCCCCCTTGCGCGAGGCATGGAGACTGTTCTAAAAAAATCTCCCGTAATTTATACTCTACGGCACAATTTTCTGGTAATAACTAAATGTAATGTAAACAATTTTGAAAAATACGTGATCCGATAAGTTAAATGTGGCCAGTACAGTATCCCAGAAAAGAGTTGCTTGCGAACGCTGTCGAGGAAGAAAATATTACTGTTCCTTGGATACACATTGTGCCAAGTTTTGCTGAAAAGACGCGCTTACCATTTATTAACAAAAGAATTGTCGGGATCCATACAGTTAAAATAATGTTATTGAATCCCAGAAAATGTCTTGTGGACTCCGTCGAGGAAGCAAGGAGGCATGTCCTGCAAACAAATGCTTCTAACAATGCACTTTCTGATGAGTAAATTTACCGAAAAGTCGTGTTGAACATTTCCTGGAATAAAAAAAAAAGACCGAGAGCTCGTGAATAAAAATTAACCCTTAAATAATCCCTGATAAGTTCCTTTTTCCCATGCCTTCCAAGAACAAAAGGAAACTGTTGCTCATATTTTCGAAAAAAGGAACTTGACCTAATTTGAATTAGTCTTTAATGAACAGATTGTATCAGGTGAAAATCTTTATCTTAAAAATCACAACAGGAAGACACAAAAAATTCGAATTTTTGCAATTTTCGAAACTAGGAATTTCAACAAAAATGGGACCAACACCTTTCTGGGCTTTACGAGTGCAAATGCGAGTGCGAGTGCGAGGGCGAGTGCGAGTGCGAGGGCGAGGGCGAGGGCGAGGGCGAGGGCGAGGGCGAGGGCGAGGGCGAGAGGGCGAGGGCGACCACCTACTGAGTGGGAGTGGCGCCGAGGCGTTTGTGGCGCCGCCCGCTTGCATCGCCTGCGAGCAGAAGAGCAGCACGGCGGCGGCCACCCAGCCACACACGCGCCGCCCCGCGCAGCCGTCGCCTGCAACAACACGTAAAGAACACCCAGAGCGAAAACAGTTTCTTTTTAGGAAAGTTCCGTCTATAATAATAATATTAAAATATTATTTCTTTTCTATGTTAATCGGTGTTATAAGTTTTCGAAAATACATTCCCTCTTATAAATGAGACATCGGAAATTTATTGTCTCTAGACACCAGTCGGACTGAAATTTTTATTTACACAAGAACTCCACGGTCATCCAGAATCACATCGAAAACACTTTCACAACTAGAACGTGTATTGAAAAAGAATTAATATAATTTTGAAGCTTAAAGTTAAGAGTTCAAAGAAAAACAGTGCTGGCTAAAACGGTAGCCAAACAACAAGACAAGACTCGGATGAAGAAATTATTATACATAGAATGTAAATAATGTTTGTAATTATTGTCCATGAACGCACACCGGCGCTTCTTTGAACTAATTTTTGAGGTCCCTATTGACGAAAAATAAAATAATGGAAGAAGACTACATACGGACTGCTCTGTTTGGAAACGCCATCAGCAATGACAGTACGAATTAGAACGGAAGAGTAACATCTCTCGGAACAGTATCGCCAACCTAACTTACATTTCATTAAATTAACATGTAGTAATTCAGAATAGAGCGATGCATATATTATTTTAAATGCGGCTCAAGGAGATGGCTCTAATTTTAATCCGCAAAAGTTACATAAGCGCATGAAAATCGAAGATCGTATCGAAAGAGAATCTATAACCTTGGATTCGCAACCTTCAAAATGTCATGTATTCAAGACAACCACCGATATGTTTTGCGTGAGGAGGTGTCTTATTTTTACGAGTAATTGATTGGACAACATTTGACACAAAAACCCTACTTTAATTGCTTGGCACATGAAACCTAGACGTGCTACAGAATGGCTGAGACTTTCCCGTATGTTATCTATTTTCTTTCGTCTCGGCTAGCTATTTGAACTTGCCACATACTCTTGTCTGTTACCATCAATCACCACCGAGTACAATTAAAAAAAAACATTTTCTTAATTTTTCGTCTTCTTAATGCACATTATGCAATGCAAATTATGTTTGGCAAATTAAGAGTTTTAATGATCACAATACCTACACCATTCTTTTAAACGTTTTTAATCTATCCACCAACAAAATACCATCAACAACAATGAATTTGTATGCGAGGAAAAACATGTTTAAATATAAATTAAAAGTACCTTATTTCACGCAAAATTAAGAGTTTTATGTATCGAAATATATTGTTTTTCGGAGTACGATTACAATTCTTTCTCTTTTTACATTACGAAATGCGAGAGAGTAAAATGCCGGGGATATCGGGTGAACACTGTGGTCAGTTTCCGATAGAAGGTCAAATTTCAAGTTGAAGTGTAAGTTGAAACGCCGAATTCCGACTTTGATATTCTACCCTGCCAGATGCGCTTCCAAGAAGCTAAGTTAAAGTACATATTCGCATTCGTTCAAGCATCCGCTATCACATTTCAAAGGCCGTGGTTTAGTGTTTCTTCATTCTTGGAATCACTAAGTGCTTTGATTTCCTCGAGAATAAAAGTCAGAGAGCAGGTCGCTAATGGCAAATTATTTTTTCGACGTGTATAGGTTTTGTTCCAACTGCTCAAAATTAAGTGTACTTTATACTCTCACTTTCCCATAGTCTCTTAAAAGACGTAAAATAGGAAATCTATTATCACCCCCCCTGCTTTAACTTGCGGTGTTTGTGACGCAAATCCACGCGCGAGAATTAAGAGTTCGCAAACTTCATGCACTTTCAAGGTTTTTTTTTTTTTTTTTTTTTCATAAAAGTAGTATATCTTTAGAGTCATTCGAAATTAATTATTACAAAATATCACGCGTACTGTCATATGCAAGTGCTCTTGTCTACTTTAATAAAATCTAAAGAATTCAAACTACATTGTAATATGACTTTTTATTAGAATTGTACTAAAATTATAGAAAAATTGAAATTGTTAATAGATCGTTGCTTTTTAATTTTAAATTTTTATTTTCTTTAAGTCCCGAAAAGTTTCGAAAATATGAAAATATTTCTAAATTGGCTACATTGTATTATATTAGAACATGCCGGATGTTTCATAGGGAAAGGTAATTTATTTCAAATGTATTTACGTGAATCCCATTTTGAAATTTTGCACAATTGTACAATTATAATAATATAAATATTAATATACATTTATAATATTATTAATATACATTTATAATATTATTAATATACATTTATAATATTATTAATATACATTTATATAAGTATTTATATGATTAATTATTTATAAATATATATTATATTCATGTCACTTCAATTTATATTGCGTACTTTAATTGTGTTCAATTGGAAAACGAATAGACGAGCGGTCATTGTTTGATGTTGATACCAATTTTCGTAACGTCGCACAGATAACAAAAGGCGATTACGACGGCTGCTTTTCATTCGCGGCAATAAAAACCAATCCTTTTATATATTTGTAGAATATTACAATAAAATTGTGTTGAATTATTACTATTATAGGTTTTTCGATTTATTTGTTTTCCAAAGCTATCACTATCGTATTATTTATGTTTTAATTATTTTACTTTCTGGCATACTGTTTATTTTTCGCACCAAATGTTCTACGATATCAAATGAATGTTACAAAAATTAATTTAGAGTTAAATTATGGTATAAATAGTATTACATTAGAAGTACGAGAAAGTACGTGTTGTTTTAACACCACTAGTTTCTTTAAATTTCCTCCACATATGTAAGGGGTGTAAAAAATATGGTGCTAGTTCTATTATCGGTTTTTCGCAGCTTTTCCGAAAATTTAAAGAAAAACTCAAATTTAGAAATCGAAGAGAGAATGGTTCTTTACAAAACGTCCGTATGTTTGCCCGTCTGTCCATCTGTAAAACCTACCACCGCCAGAACAATTCGAAGGATTTTTTTTTTAAATTGAAGAAACCCTTGTCCATCTGGCTCGAGACGAATCTTTGAAACTTTCGAAAACGTTCTTTAAAATTTGGGGATACTTTACAGAAAGCCCCTCGGAGATTTTAAAAATTTTCTCAAAAATGGCTCCAATTTTTTGTTTAAACTTCTTGTAAAAATAGATAAATAAAACCGATAAACCGATAAATGTGGCATGTGTTCGATTTACTGGTTTAGTTCTAAATTTTCGAAAATTTTCGGGCGGTTTTTCACAACTACAAAATTGAAAATAGAGATTTTTTTATTAATTAAATTTGTTCTACATTGTGAGTTCTTTCATTAACATCCTGTACATTTTTGAAAACTTAAGTCGTTTTCGCAGAATATTGCGTTCAATATTGGCAATTTTAGAAAAATTACAAAAAAATCTCAAAAATGACTCAAAACCTTTATTTTGGTGTATCAGATGACATAAACGTCACGTTGCTCTATTTTTTTATTTTTTCAAAAATTCCAAAAATAATAAAACGTCATTTTCTTAATACTGCTCAAACGTTTTTTTTTAAATTTTCCCTCATGTTTAATTTGCACATTTTCAGCGATTATTAAACACTATTGCATTTGTAACTGGAAGTACTTGAAATGAAGGCACATGAAATTTTGAACAACTCAATAATTTTCTTTAAAAAAAGGTTCTAATACCAAATTTCTGTAGAGCTGTCTTAAAAACGGATCTCAATTATTCAAAGAAAATTGCTATTTAGTACGAGGTTTTATTCTTTAATATTATGAAAATAATATTTCTATTTATTTATTAGGAAGATGAAAAATTAACAAAATATTTTTAAAAAATTGTACTTTCGGCGTTGATTGATGGCAACAGACAAGAGTATGTGGCAAGTTCGGATAGCTAGCCGAGACGAAAGGATATAGAAAACATACGGAGAAGTCTGTGCCATCCTGTAGCACGACTAGATTTCATATGCCAAGTATTGAAGTAGGATATTTGTGTCAAATGTTGTCCAATCAATTACTCACAAAAGTAAGACCACTCCTCACGCAAAACGATTCGGTAGTTGTCTTGAATACATGACATATAAAAGTTACCAACCCGACGATATCGATCCTCTTTCGAGACGGTCATCGATGTTCAGCGCTTATATAACTTTTGTGAAATAAAATTAGAGTCATCTATTTGAGCCGCATTTAAAATAATATATTCATCACCGTATTATGAATTAATACATGTAAATTTCATGAAACGTAAAGTTTATTATATAGCTAGGTTGGCGATACTGTTCCGAGAGATGTTACTCTTCCGATCTAATTGGTACTGTCATTCCTGATGGCGTCTCCTAACAGAGCAGTCCGTATGTAGTCTTCTTCCATTATTTTATTTTTCGTCAATAGGGACCTCAATAATTAGTGTAAAGTATCGCCGGTGTTCGTTCATTTAACAATAATTATAAACATTATTTACATTCTATGTATAATACTTTTTCATGCGAGACTTCTCTTGTTTGGATAGCGTTTCTGCGTTTCTGCAGTTCATTAATCGCGTCTGCAGTTTCAAAAATTTCGCGTTTATTCAGTTATCTACATGAAATGGAAGTCGTAATGAAAATCAAAATGAAATTCTTTGCCGTGCCTGATGGAACAATATTTTTTTCCAATTTCTATGTTACGAAAAAACGTGTAAACGAATTAAATGTAAAGGAAAAAAACAGCGAGTGGCAATGTAGACTGAAAAAAACCGAGTGGTTGACAAGCGCAAAGTAATACAATAGTAATGAGTTTAGAAAGCCTGCTAACACCATTTGAAAGTGTCTTGAAAATATGATTGACATTAATGACATTAATGACAGGTTGTTACTCACACTTACTTATGATAGAGAATTTACAAAGTTGCTTGGGGAACTTGAAGAAGTTAATAACATTTCTAAGTGAAATATAGAAGTTTTAAGGAGTTAAGAAAAGGAAAATATTAAAAATTAATTAGGCATTTAATAAATTTCCATTTCAAATTTCCAAACATCTAGAGTACA